GGGGGCCGCCTCGGCGGGACCGTGACTCCGAGCGGCGGCTACAGGCCAGCTCACGTCTGCTCCTTTCTCTTTCAGAGTTCAACCAGACAGTCCAGGGTTGTGGAAATATGACAGACAAAGGCAGTCAGGATCAGCTGCTGTTTCTCTTTCCAGAGTTCAATCAGCAGAACCAGGGGGCTGCCCAGCTCGACGACGCCTGCTCTGAAACCCCCAGCAAGAAGATGCGGCGCAATCGGTTCAAGTGGGGGCCGGCCTCCCAGCAAATCTTGTACCAAGCCTACGAGCGCCAGAAGAACCCCAGCAAGGAGGAGCGAGAGACCCTGGTGGAGGAGTGCAACAGGTAACTCAGGCTGCCCCACACAGCCTGCGCTGCCTGCCCTGCCCCACAGCCTCAGCCGTGGCAGGTGCTGGGCTCCCTGCTCACCAGCTCGGTTCCTGGCTCGTGGCACAGCTCTGCCGAGCTGCCCGGCCTCTCCTTGCCATGCTTTGCCCCTCTGGGTGATGTCTGGGGCAGAGTGAGCTCCATGCTTGGGCAGGAATGTGATGGGGATGCTGCAGGGATGATGCAGGGCTGCAGTGAGGATAGCACAGGGATGCTGTGGGGATAGCACAGGGATAGCACAGGGATGCTGTGGGGATAGCACAGGGATGCTGTGGGGATAGCACAGGGATGCTCTGGGGATAGCACAGGGATGCAGTGGGGATAGCACAGGGATGCTGTAGGGATAGCACAGGGATAGCACAGGGATGCAATAGGGATAGCACAGGGATAGCACAGGGATGCTGTAGGGATAGCACAGGGATGCTGTAGGGATAGCACAGGGATGCTGTGGGGATAGCACAGGGATGCTGTAGGGATAGCACAGGGATAGCACAGGGATGCTGTAGGGATAGCACAGGGATAGCACAGGGATGCTGTAGGGATAGCACAGGGATAGCACAGGGATGCTGTAGGGATAGCACAGGGATGCTGTGGCATTCCAGCAATATCAGAGGGAGCAGGGATGGCCTTTACAGTATGGCTGTAGTTGAAGAGAGCAGGTGGGCTTGCAGGAGGGGCTGGAACTCCCTCAGATTTGTTGTGTGCTGGGGCCCCTGCCTGCCCCCAGCAGCAGCAGCCTCGCTCCAACGTGTTCCCTTGTGCTGGCAGGGCCGAGTGTCTGCAGCGAGGAGTGTCCCCCTCCAAGGCACACGGGCTGGGCTCCAACCTGGTCACCGAGGTCCGTGTGTACAACTGGTTTGCCAACCGGCGCAAGGAGGAGGCTTTCCGCCAGAAACTGGCCATGGACGCCTACAGCTCGGGCCAGCCCCCGCACAGCATGAACCTGCTGCTGTCCCACGGCTCCCCACACCACAACCAGCCCAGCGCCTCCCCGCCCAGCAAAATGCCAGGTAAGGCTCGCCCGGGGTGCTCGGGGGGGGATGGCAGAGCTTGGGGGTGCTGAGCCCGCGGGGCTGGGTGCGTGAGGATGCTCACCCTGCTTCCAGCCTCAGGGAGGGACGGTGATGGACGGTGATGGAGAGGAGCGCGTCCTGTCACGGCAGTGTTATGGCCGGGCCAGCCGCGTGGTGAGGGCTGGATTTCCGTCATGCCGAGGATAAATCAGTGTTTGTTTGATGGCTTTGACTCACGGCAGTTCCGTGTGGGCTCGGCTGGGCAGGGCGGGAGGAGCTGCCCGTGCCGGAGCCGGCCCATGGGATGGAGCCCAGTGGCGAGCGCGGTCCCGGGTGGCCGAGGGGAGTGTGGCAGCGTGTCCTGGCCTCGCTGCAGGGCTGGAGACACCCCGGGCTGGGTGCACGACTCTGCAGCATCCCCGTGCCCCAGCGAGGAGCGGGCGGAGCAGAGCAGAGCCGCCGAAAGCTCCTGGGGACTGAAGCGGGGGATGACGCCGTGGGGAGGGGGCTGCACACTGCGGGGGGCTCAGGGGCCAGAGGCCTTGTTGGGAGAACGATCTCCATCCCTTACCTGCCCCGGCGGGACAGGGTGATGGGGGTCAGCCCCACGGCCCCTCGGACACAGCCCCGGCACAGCCCGGCCGGGGAGGCTGGAACCAGGCACCGGCTGGAAATGACCCTGCCCGGCCCCGAACACACACCCAGCTCGTTCCAAAGGCAAACCAAAGGAACCGAGTGGCGGAGAGTCCCCGGGAAGGGCGGGGTGCCTGCGGACAGCAGCACGGCTGTTGGCAGCCCCCCGAGGGGTCCCGGCCCTGGCAGGAGCCGGCAGGTCCCGGGGACAGCCAGCGGTGACCAAAATGTGACCCTGCCCCAGGAATGCCCCGCACAATGCGGGGACAGGGAGGACGTTTGCCCTCCTGTCAGCGGCTGATTGCTTACAAGGTGCCCTACAAGCACATTGTCAGCAGAATCAGCTGTTTTCGGTGTCGCGGCGGGCTTCACAATGCCCCACCAGCATGCAGCCCCGCATTGTCACGGCGTTGTCCCCCGTGCATGCTTAATTGACAATTAAGCCGGGTCTTTGAACGAAGCCCGCTGCCTTTGATGTGCCCCCGGCCTGGCAGCGCACATGGGGCACCCCCCGAGAGCCTTTGTTTTCTTCTATTAGGGGACAGCAATTACTGTAACCGCGGGCATTTATCTTGGGGCTGGAGGGCCGTTAAGCCCCAACCTTTATTCTCCCGTCGGAGCGGTGCCAGCAGGGGCCGGCCGTGGCTATAGGGCCGGTGACAGCCCCTCCCGAGGGGCTTTGGAGCAGGGCAGGAGTGATGGCTGCGAGAAGAGCCCCTCCGGAGGGGTCAGGAGGGCTCGGCTGCGGGAGTTTCTTGGCGGTCGGTGCTTGCATCCATCCCGAGGAGGAGGAGATGGAAGCGGCAAGGGACGCTGTGGGGTTTTAGGGTTGCTTTGGGGGCAGCAGGCAGGGATGGAGCTGAGCCATGATTGCTCCAGGGTGCTTGGACCAAGCTGGGTCCGAGAGGCTTCCAGCTCCCGAAACAGCGCCGGGTCCATCGCTGCTGGAACCTCCTCCAGGAGATTCCTGGGGATCCACTGCTGGTGGGGCACATTCGGTGCTGGCCCCGCTGCCTGGCTGACCCCGTCCTGGCTGTCCATGCTGGGATTTGAACTGTCCTTGCCCCGATGCGGCGGCGTCTGGGCCGCTCAATGCCTTAACAGCTTAATGACAGCACGGGGACACTGTCCCTGCCCTCCCCGGCCCCCGTGACATCCCCGGCAGGAAACGATGGGGCTGGAGCTGTGGGGCAGCTGCAAACCTCTCCCGTGCCTGTGGACAAAGAGGGATCGCCTCTCCTCGGGACATCAATGGGGTCTTGCAAAAGGGCGGGATGACAGCGGGGCAGGGATGAGAGCTGTAAAAGTCAAACATCCTCCGGCCTCTGCTTGGGGACCCATCTGTCAAGCCTGGAGCTGAAGTTTTTAACTATTTGGAGGTAAATACTTAAAGCCTTTCTATCTTGGAGGCTCCTCTCCGAGGCTGGACTTTTCCCTGACTCTGGGTTTTATCAGCGATCTTGGTTCCCTGTTTGATTTGAAGGTTACTCGGGGCTTTATCTCGGTGCCATGCTGTAGACTCTGGCTTATGCCATTTTTATCTTCAAGAGCCCCGAAGACAATCGGGGCATTGATGAGATTAGGGGAAGCACCGCCCGCCCTGCATACAAAGGGCTGCCCGCCCTGCAAGCCCCAGCCCCACGGCCGAGGGGCTCAGCACCCATGCAGCCTGTCCTGGGGGCTCCACACCCATGGGGGATCCATCCATCCTTCCTTCCTTCCTTCCTTCCTGGCTTCCTTCCTGGCTTCCTTCCTTCCTGGCTTCCTTCCTTCCTGGCTTCCTTCCTTCCTTCCTGGCTTCCTTCCTTCCTGGCTTCCTTCCTTCCTGGCTTCCTTCCTGGCTTCCTTCCTGGCTTCCTTCCTGGCTTCCTTCCTTCCTTCCTGGCTTCCTTCCTTCCTTCCTTCCTTCCTTCCTTCCTTCCTTCCTTCCTTCCTTCCTTCTTCCCCTTCCTCTCTCCTCTGCAAACATCAGAGTAGCAGAACAATATCAGAACAATCATATTTCTATAGATATATATGTGTACATACGTATATATTAAAATACATTACTTACCTATATATCCATACACATTTAGGTATCTCTATGGATGGAGATAAACATAAAAATAACCCAGTGCCACCCCTGAGATTCTTCCTAAAACCCAAAGGGCAAGTGAAATGTTTTCATTTTCCTTTAAAAGAAGAGCCCATGAGCGAGCCCTGGCTCTGGGTACCCTGGTTTATACCTGGATGCTTCCTTGGGGTGCTGGTTCTCCCTGGGACCCAGTGCCAGCAGCTGTAATATTTTACTGTCGGGCACATTGTGGGGCTCGGTGGGTACAGTGTGCTGTTTGGAGCTTTTCCCTGTTTTATGGGGGTAATTAGAACTTTATGACAGCAGCGAAATGGGAGGGTCTAGTCCCCATAAACGGGTTTATAATGGATATAAACTATGCACCGCCGTAACTGAGCAAGATTAACACTTTAGGGACAATTTGAGTGGCAGCCCAAAAATCAGGGCTGCCCTCAGGGCTGCCTGGACGTGAATTTTGGGAGGGTGAAACTGTCCCATCAGCGACCTGGCTGCCCACAGTGTCAGTGGGTGAAGCATCACTGAGTCCAGCACAACCCCAAAAATGACACTTTCCTTTTCTCAGCCCACTCCCACACCCTGGTCCATGCCAGTGGCTGCATCCTGGGGGTCAGGCAGAACCTGAGCTGGATCCCCGCCTCCACCAGATTGCTGGTGAATTTTTGGGGTCTCTTTTGGGGTTTGGCGTTGCTGGTGATGTGCAGGACATTGGTGAAGCTCTGGGCAGAAGTGCAGCCTAGAGCTGGGGGAAGAGGCAGATGCTGAGACTGGGATGTGCTGTAGCACGGTGGCAGCAGGGCTCCCACCGTGTGGGAAACACAGTTAAAAGTACAATGGGGGGCTTTTTAAAATACAATTTATTAATATCAAACATAACTTAAAGCAAAGCGGAGCTAAACTGCTTCGCTGCTGGTGCCTGCCAAAGGGACAGGACTGGTGTGTGCTGAGAAAATGGCACAAGGCTGCAATGAAAGTGATAAAGAGACCAATCCTTGCCTTGAACTCCCTCTACTATCCCCCTACCCCAAAAGCTGAGTCAGGAGGATGAGTGTGGTGCCCCAGAGAAGTTGGGAGGTGCTGGGGCTGTCTCTGGGTGCCCAGGACCCCCTTGCCCTGGGGCTGTCACGCTGCGTTCCCCGTTCCCCATCCATCGGCTGGAACAGGGTTAAGGCTACGGGAGCCGGACCCTGCGGCTCTCTGGGGCAGGGGAAAGCAGTAAAACATTTCACAGGCTGTGCAGCTCAGGGGCCACACAATGACCCATCCCATAAACAGATTTTATATTATGGCTGTAGCTCCAGTTAAAAAAAAGCCTTGAGGAGGGAAGGCTCCATGGCCATTCCTGGTGATCCCCATCCAGGCTCCTCTCTTGAGCAGCCACGGGAAGAGACTGAGGGGGAATAAATCCCTTTGCACAAGGGCTGCTTCCAGCTGTGGAGGCACAGGAGAGCAGCAGGAGAACTGTTGTGTTGGGTTCTGATGGCTGTCTGAGCCCAGCTTGTAAACCCTGGCTGCCAAAGCTCGCTCCAGGAGGAATCCTCAGCCCTGGTGCAAGCAGCTGGAGCTGTGCCCGTGCGTTCACCCGGCTGTGGGGGCTCTGTGGGGAGCTCCCAGAGGTTGTGCTGCCAGGATCCCAGGGCTCAGGGATTGAGGGAAGCCTGGGGAGCTCAGGAGAAAGGCACCCCCATCACCAGGGAGCTCCATGTGTTACAGCACTGACAACAGCAGCAGTGCCTTGTAGTGGTTTCCCAATATTAATGATCTGATCTGCCCAAATCCAGCCCACCCTGGGGACACATCAGTAATAACACCCCTCCCATTGTGGGAATGGGGAAAACCCAGTGAGGATTGATGTTTCCTAAAGGAAGCCCTGGCAGGAGGCTTCTCCCAGCCCAGCAAGCAGCTTCTGAGCAGGGGCCTTGGTGGGGCTGGAGAGTGGCACTGCTGTCACAGGCCCAGAGCCCAGCCTGGCTCTCCTGGGGAGAGTTAATCTTCATCAAGACTCTTCATCAAGACACAGAGTCATCAGTGGCTTTATCTAGAGACCCAAAATCTCAGTCCCCAGCCTATCTGGGAATCTCGGCGCTGGTTATTGTTTCTCAAACAATCAAAGTCTTGTCCTTGGGGTTGTGAGGAAGAGCTTGGAAATCAGCATTTCGCCTCTTGTGTGTTTTGAAGTCAACTTCAGAGCCTTGGGTGGCTTCGCTCATGAGTTATCACCCCCTCAGCTGGATAGGGCATGATTTTGCATTTAGAATGGACTTTTTTTGTTGTTCTTACTGAGCCCAGAAGAGCTCGAATTCAGCAGAAACTCAGATTTCCTTTGCGAGAGGAGCCGTCTGCGCTCTCGTCTATCTCTCAGATCGCACCCAGAAGAAAGGGCTTTATTTTATCTCCCCTCCCATTGTTTCAGCAGCGCCGGGATCCCGGCCCAGAGTGAAGCACCCTGTGCAGGGCCGGGGCCGCGGGAGGAATGTGTGTGACAGTGCCCGGGTTGAGTAATGTTTACCCTGTTCATGGCAGGGACGTCCACTCGGGCCGGCAAATATCCACCTGCCAGAGGACATTCTTTTATTATCAGGGATAAAGGGGTTTGCTGGGAAATCATCAGGAACCAGACATGGTGAGGAGATTCCTATCTGCGGGTCGTGTTTAACCAGCTGATGGGGAAGACTCGGAGGCGATTGCGGAGTGGCTGTGTTGTGGTTTTGGTGGAGGGTGTGCGTGGGTCTGTGCTTGGGCAGATGATTTTGGAGCTGGTGGAAAGCTCCTGCACTCCAGTTATTATTTCTTTGTTTTGCCTTGGTTCAAAGATTGATTCTGGAGTAGAGCATCCTCCACCTGCACCTCCCCTGTGGTTCTGAGGGGCTGTCCCCAGTGTCCCTGTGCAGTGGCCGGGGTCACGGGTGGGTGATGCTCATGGTGGCTGGCAAGGTGGGCTTTGCCACCACGGGTTTTTTCCCCAGCAGAGCTGTGGTTTGTCTGTCCATCATGCACCGCTTCGATCCCAGAGCAGTTCAGTAAATCTGGCTGGGAGCACAGGGCTGGGCTCCTCCTAATAAATGGCTTTTTGCTGTAGTTGTCAAGGCAGCCCTGTAAAAGACACTTTTGTTTCCCATGGGTTTTCCTCAGTTAATTATTTGTGATCTGTAGATGCCTTTCCATGACACATGGCTGATCATATGGTTATCAGCGTGGGGTGCTTTTGCCAAATTAAATATATTTATATAGAAGACCTGTGCTGGGGCCAGATTTCCCTCCAGGGCAGTGGAGGGCTGGGGTCTGCTCTGGGGGTTGGTGTGTGTCTGGTCCCTCTGTTAATCATACACTTTTGGAGAGGGTGGTGAGAGGGAATCGGATGCAGAAGGGCCTGAGAAGACAGTGGGAGCTGTGGATCTGGGAGCTGGGCAGCTGGGGATGGCTGGGGGCTGCAGGGAGAGCCTCAGAGGGATGAGATGGAGGCTGCAGGGTCGCTCCTCGTGGTGCAGGGTCCCCGGGCCAGTGGCCAAGAGCCACGGCAGGACTTTGCAGGAGAGGTGTGAACTGTGCAGATGGAACACGAGGGGTGCAGGTGTGGGGCTCATTTCCCCCCTCGTGGCACTGGGGGTTGCAGCTCCAGCCATCCTCACGGGAATTGCAGGAGATTCCAGGCCAGGGACAGGCTGGGAAGCGCTGCTGGAGGAAGGGACTCGTCGGGAGCGTGTCCACATCTGCGTGCTTGTGCCAGGGGGCTGTGGGAGGGCTGAGGGGGTTGGCAGGACCCAGGACACCCCCTGGCTCTCTGGGTGATGCCGATGAGGGCTGTGTTTTGCAGGGGTCCGCTACAGCCAGGCGGCGAGTGGCGAGGCGGCGTCCTCGGGGGCCATCGGCCACCACGGCAGCGGTGCCATGGTCACCACCAGCCAGGCTGTCCTGCAGCAGGTCTCCCCGGCCAGCCTGGACCCGGGCCACGGTTTGCTGTCTCCCGAAGGTAAAATGGTGAGTACACCTGGCCCATTGTGGCGGCGGCGCTGATAAGATAAGAGGGCCCAGCGGGCAGAGCAAACACGCTTTCCCCGGGTTTCACACGCGGCCCGGGCTGAACAATGGCGCATTGTGGGGGACGAGGGTGCCGCTGTCCCGCTCCCGCTGGGACACGGAGTGTTTTCTGAGATGGATCTGGCTTCATTGATCGCAGGATGAAGGCGCTGGGTGGATCACTGTTTGCTTTCCCCTGCCCATGACACGGTATCGATAAAATACCCATTCATTACTTTTTCCATAAGCCCTCCCAAGTTTGGGAAGAGCTCTCCTTGTGAGCAGGGACCTTCTTGTCCCAGGCATCACCCAGGGGATTGAGGCTGCTCATGCTGGCTCTGGCCTCACAGCTCCTGCCTCTCCCCCTCTCCTGTGCCACGTCCTTGGGGCTCTGCTGTGGGGGCTTTGCGGGGCAGAGCTGTCATCCTCAGCATGGCACGAGTGGAGATGGGACATCAGCATCCCTGTGGTGCTGGACATGTCCCCACACTGCTGCTGCAGGACCTGAGCGCTCAGGGTGCCCCTTCATGACACAAAGCCCCTGGAGGAGTGGGTGAAGGAGCAGGGTAAGGAGGAGGTTCAGGGGCAGGATGGGATAGCAGAGCACAGCCCGTCCCTGGAGCAGGCTGGCAGAGGTTTGCCTGCAGCTGCTGCTTTTCCGGGAGTTTTTTCCTGCTGAAATCGAAAGTCAAACATGGCACTGGGTGACGGGGCCAAGCCGGTTCTTCCCCGGTTTTCACTTCCATTTTCAGAGGGCTGTCCCTCCCGGCCATCCCGCCGGTCTGCTGGCAAAGCTGGGTGGCCATGGAGGGGCTTGCTGTCCCTCAGCTATGGCCCCATTTCATTGTGCCTTTCTCCTGGCTGGAGAGGGTCTCTGTGCAGCCCCTCTGGCTCTGGCACTCACCCTGCAAAGCCAAGTGTTCCCTGCCAAGCTGGGGGGACATTGCAGAGCAACAGCCCAGCCCCCCCAGCCCACTCCCTCTGGCCCAGCACGCCCAGATCACCTCCGGGGTGTGTTGAGGCTCATAACCCTCAGCCTGGAAGCCATAAAATGAGTCAGGGATAAAGGCAGCAGCGGCACCGCAGTGCCAGGGCGGGGATCCCCAAGGACCAGGCGATGCCAGCACCCTCTGCCAGCTCCTGGCACCAGGGCAGAGACCCCCAGAAGGGGCTGGGCAGCACGGGAGAAGGGAAGGGAGCAGATGAAACTGGGAAAAGCCATTTGGAAAAGTGCAGCAGAAGGGCCCTGCTGCGTTGTGCCCAAGGCACAGACGCTGCCCAGCGCCGTGGGGACCGCGCGGGACCGCGGCTCTGCCAGCTTATCTCTGATCTCCAGGCAGGGCTAGCTGGTGCTTGCAAGTGATTTAATAGAAATATGCTGTAGGCTGTGGTTTCTAGTGAGTAAACATGTGCCTTTAATGCCCCACATGAAACAAGGAGCTGCCAAGGAAGTTGCGGCATCTTTCAGGAAGGAGCGTTACTGAGGCTCCAGAAATCTCTTGTGGCTCACTCTTTCATGCTCCAGTGTTTGCCTCGGCTGTGTTAGTGCCAGAGGGTCTACCCTGAGGGTCCAGTGCCTGGAGGGTCTTTTCCAGTCATGCACAAGCCAGGTGCAGTGCTCTGGGGCTAAACAGTCTGTGAGAGGAGCTGGGGCTGCAGGCGAGCAGCGTGTGCTTGCCGGGAGCTGTTTGACTTGTGCAGCCGAGTGTGGTGTAATGCGGCCTTGAAGGGACTTTGAAAGTGGAAAATACCGGATCAGGAAATGTGAGTCACTCCCGGGCTTTGGAATTTATTGATGGATTTGTTTCAATTGCTATCTCCAGCTCACATGTGCAAAATAAACAAGGTGCTCGGAACGGGTGTCCAGAAATGTCACCTGAAGGGCTGCGGGGATGGCCCTGGGTTGGGATTGAGGTCACTCAGTGCAAGAGGGCTAACGACAGGGATTAGGGGAAGGTGCAGCAATTAAAGAAACAAGGCACTTACATGTCCTGGGGACCAGCTCCAGTCTCACAGCACGCTGCAAGTGCCTTTGTCTGATCCCTAAACTTTGGCCCAAAAGCCTGGGCACTGGCTCTGTCTGCGCTCACCCACTCCCGTCTCACCGGTATCCTGCCACATTGGTGACTAATATCATCACCACGGGGCCCTTTTCATCTGCTTTCTGTCATTTTTCTTCACTTTCCTGAGTTTATAGGTCCCATTTCCCCTACAAGCACACTGGTTAAAAGTTAATGAGTGTCAAGAGCCCTCAGCTGTCCCTGTGGGCTGGAGCTTGGACTTGGGGTACAAAACAGCAAGGGCTTGGGATGTGCCGTGTTCTGGTGCCATGCTCCAGTGGAGCTGGAAGCCAGTGCCAGCAAAGTGTTTCCCAAAGCTGGTTTGCTGTATATTAACACAAGGGGAGGTGCTGCAGTCAGGGGCTGCACCCTGGGGCTGTGGGGGTGTGTGGGGTGAAGCCCCAGTGGGACTCTGAGGAGGGGGCTCTGCTGATGCCCCCCATGTCCCCATGAGCTCTGACGCTGCCTGTCCTGCCCTGCAGATCTCCGTGTCGGGGGGCGGGCTGCCCCCGGTGAGCACCCTGACCAACATCCACAGCCTGTCCCACCACAACCCGCAGCAATCCCAGAACCTCATCATGACGCCGCTCTCGGGAGTCATGGCCATCGCCCAGAGTAAGCGCAGCCCCAGTTCTCCCCTGTCCCCTGCCCTGTGACGGGGAGGTGACACTGCCCGCTCCTGACAGCCCCCTCTGCTCTCTCCCTGCTCCCAGGTCTGAACACCTCTCAGGCTCAGAGTGTCCCCGTCATCAACAGCGTGGCTGGCAGCCTGGCAGCCCTGCAGCCGGTGCAGTTCTCGCAGCAGCTGCACAGCCCGCACCAGCAGCCGCTGATGCAGCAGTCCCCCGGCCACATGCCGCAGCAGCCCTTCATGGCCACCGTCACCCAGCTGCAGAACTCTCACAGTAAGGGCTGGGGAAGCTGCAGAGGGCCCTGGAAATGAATTCAGATGGGAAATCGGCTTGTGCTCTCCTCGTGCTCTCCCCTGCCCAAGCTGGCAGCCTTGGCTGCTGCCCCTCTCTCGTGGCTCCAGCCCATGGGATGCTCAGCAGGGCAGGGTGGTCACATCCTGCCTCATCCCCTCCTTCCCCCGCTCCATCCCTCTGGTGCAGCCACAGCCCCTCGGTCCCTGCGGGTTTCTGGGGGCGAGCTGCCGCCTGGGAATGGAGGGAAGCGGTGGGTTCCTCCCTTGGCTTGTTTAACCTCGTCCCTGTGTCCCTGCTGCCCGCTCCCACCCCTGGAGCTGCCGTAGCGAGGGCTGGGGTGGCTTTTCCCTGACCTGTCCCCCGCTGTCCGCAGTGTACGCGCACAAACAGGAGCCTCCCCAGTATTCCCACACCTCCCGCTTCCCCTCGGCCATGGTGGTGACGGACACCAGCAGCATCAGCACGCTCACCAACATGTCCTCCAGCAAGCAGGTAACGACCCACGGGGCTGTGAGGGGGCACGGGGTGCGGGGGAAGGTGGGCTGGAGCTTTTCCCCCTCTGGATATGGGCTGGAGGTGGGAGAGCAGAGACCCCATCGTGCTGCCTGTGCTCCACTCGTGGGAAGCTGAGGATGAGAACCACATCCCTGAGGATGAGAACCACATCCCTGAGGATGAGAACCACATCCCAGCCCCTTCTGAAACATCTGCTTGCAGGTGGCCTGCTGGGGATTTGGGAGATTTTGTCTGACACTTGGTGGTACCTGCTCATCCCTGGGGCAACTCCATGAGAGTGGGAGCATCCTGCTGGGGCTGAGGAGGTAGAACCAAGCAGGCTCTGTTGCCTGTGCCCAGGGGGATCTGGCTGGAGTCAAGTGGAGTCCAAGGCTCCCCAACTTCCCCCAGCCCATAAACCTTTATCATCTGCCCACTGCAGGTGTAGGGCCGGACTTATCCTGGTTCAAATCAGGTGTGTGAGGTTTTCCTTAGACAATAGTCCCTTTCTGAGAGCCAGTTCTGGGGACTGTGGGAAATATGTGGCCCTTATTGATCGCTAGATAAATAAGAGAGAGCCTTGAACTTGCATTCAGATAAACTTTCTTCCCGAGGTTTGACAGGGGACAGGAAAAAAATGTCTGCAATGACCACAGAGTAAATACAGTGTGGGATTGCCCTGAGACCCCCCCCGGCATCGCTGTGGGATCCTTGGCGAGGCTGAAGGAAGGGGCTGGGCTGCAAAGGGGAGACGTGGGGGGGTTTGGGGTGCTTGGGAAGGGGTCACGAACGCCACCTCCCCGGGGTCCCACTCAGGGTGACCATTCAGGCACGGCCGCCCCTCCGAGCTCCATTTCCTCCGTGCAGCTTTATCGGCCCATCTGCTGCGCGCTCAGCCCGAACTGCCCCTGATTAATCGAGCTCTCCTGCCTTTGATGCCGGGCTGGCCGGGCAGCCCCGGGACACAGGAAATGTCCCTGGCAGGGAGATAGAGCCCGGCCATCCCCGCTGCCTCCGGGCCCTGCGATCACCCTACCCTGACCAGCGCTGCCCACGGGGCTGGGGCTCCCGGGGCTTTCTGCCTCCACCACGTTTTTGCACTTTAATTAAAGCAGGAGGAGGTGTCGTGGCTCAGGAGGGGGGGATATGGGGCCAGGACCCTCCTGCTGTGCTGAAGGGACGCCCACCCCCCCCATTACCCCCAATACATGATAAACATCCTGCAAGCACCGGGGCAGGATCTGACCAGTCTCCAACAGCAAACCCTCCCAGCCCCCAGGGTCTCTTTTCCTGCCAACCATTCGATGCCCAAGCTACAGCTGGAAAAATTTATCTTTGGACATGGTTTTCTTTCTTGCTGGTCAGCAGTTTCATTAGCCAGAGGTGAATGAAGTGTGACAGACGCAGCATGGGGGCCCCATAAATGTTGCTCACCACCCAAATTGCTCAAATACCTGAATATTTTTGGTGATTTGGGTTTCTGTCATTGACTGGGGCTACCAGGGGCTGTGCCCTGGCTCCTGCACACATTGCCTTGGCATAAAGCAGGCAGCCCCCACCAGACCCCAAAACTGTTCCGTGGTGGAGGTGGCTGCTGCGGGTCCTGCCGGGGGGATGGAGCTGGAGGGAGGTCCCTGGTCCCCCCCAGCTCTGCCCTCGCTTGCTGTGGGTCTCTTATCAGATGTTGTTATTAGACCTGGAAGGGGCAAATACCTCCCGGTTCCTTTGACAACGCTTGAGGCCGAGCCACCATGTTTATTACGTTGGCAAACACCTGATAGCCACGGCCAGTCCCTAATGACATGTCACGGGAGGCTCCTGGCGTCTCCTTATCTCCGCCTGACGATGTTTGCTGTGCGCTCCAGCCCGCAAGGTCACCCCACCCCTGGCCCCCGCCCACCGGGCCCTGCGGGGACCCCAGGGATGGAGAGGGATGGAGAAGGGGCCTCTGCAGTGGGATGGATGTGGCAGGGGCCACATCTTGTGGAAGATGCTTGGCTCTGTCCCTGGAGAGGAGAGCGGTGCTGGGGGACAGCGCTGAGCCCCCGGCACCGCTCCCAGCTCTCAGCCTCACGCCTGGCTGCTCCCGGGCTGCCTGGCACAGCCTGGGCACAAACAGGACCTTCTTTAGTATTACCGTGTTTGGGAGGGGGTGACGATAGCTGCCTAAGAAAGTATTTTCCCACTGCCTCCCCCACAGGGGTGCCAGGGAGGGCTCGGGGCTGAGCAGGGCAGCACCAAGGTCACGGAGCAGTGCAGGAGGTGATGCCTCCAAATGCTTTGTGGTGCTGCCTCCTCCTCCTGCCTCGTTCCCCGCCGCTCACCGTGCTGCTCTCTCTCCCTCCCCAGTGTCCCCTGCAAGCCTGGTGATGCTCCACACCTCGCTGCTTTCGCACATAGCAACGGGATCTTATTTTCCACAACATCCCGAGGGCGAGCTGCGCTCCCAGCCCGGGGGTCGCCTGCCAGAGCACAGCCCAGCAGCGAGGAGCCCGACACGGGGCCGGGGCTGCCGAGCCCGCCGGGGACCAGCCCGGAGCCGCGGTGCCCAGCCGGGACCTGCCTCTCCTTCCCTCCACGCAGCGTTTCCAAGATGTGTCTTGGGGATTATTTTCCTGAAGTATTTGCCTTCCAAGAGGCTCTCCCGAGGAACAAGGCACGAGCTGTGCTGGGAACTGGCGGAAGGGGAAGATGGATCATGTTTAAGTTATACTCCTCCACTCGGCGGACTGAGAGGGACCGGGGTCTGTTACTTGGCGTTTGGAGGGGAGGAATTGCATGTGTTGTTGAACTGAGCCAATTAAACTGTAAATATAGGTACAGTCTGCTCCATCCTCCCCCCTCCCCACTCCTATACATAGAGATTTATATAAAAAATAAGTAAATTTTGTCCAATGGATGTAAACTATTGTAATTAAGTGCAATTCCCCCATCTGTATATATTGGTCCTGAATATCTTCTCTTTCTCCATTTTTTTGTTTGTTTTTTTTTTATGGTAAAGGTCAGAGCTGAGGCTGGTTTTGGTTTTGTATTTCTCTTTTTCCTTTAAACGAGTTAATTCCAATCCTGGGGCTGGCAAGGACCGTGGTCAGGCAGCACTGGGCTCTGCTGTGCAGGAGGACAGGCAGACACGTGTCCCCTGCACGGTGACATCCCACGTGAAGGGGAGCACAGGGTGAGCTGAGCGGGGCCCTGCAGGACCTGGATGATCCATGTGGGGACAGCTGCAACTACGAATTAATCTCAATGGACTTCCCTGCTTTTGGGGACTCTGAGATGGGCTCTGGGGCGGTGGGGAAGGACTCCTGGTGAACACATCCAGCTGCTGGGAAGTGTCAGCAGCTTCCAGGTGAGCCTGGAGCACTTGCTGCTACAGAGTGAATGAGGCCACACGGAACTCTGAGCACATCTTCCCCAGCTGGGCTCAGAGACTGTCTCCCTTTTCCCCTCCCTCAGAGCACAGAAGGGGCTGCGTGCTCAGTTACTGCCTCATCTCCTGCCCAGTAAATGGGCAGTACAGGTGGCTTCTTTCCACCTTCAGCAGTTGGTGATGGACCTTTCTGGCTCCACCCTTGGTAGTGCACAGGGTGCTCTCGTCCTCATGGATGGATGGATGGATGGATGGATGGATGGATGGAATATGGGCCATGGTGTGAACACTCCAGCTGCTGCCCTGTCCCACCTGGCAGCAGCTCCTGCATGGAAAGCTCTACAGAAAGATCTGCAGCTTGGGAATGATCCCAGTGCCGTGGTGAGGGCAGGTCCAGCCCAACACAGGACACACACCACAGCCCTGGAGGAGTTTGAGTGCCCAAGTCCAACCTCCCAAAGCCATGGAAGCTGTTAAAGGCATTGTCTGCCCTCTGTGAGACACGAGCTCCTCTGTACCTGCTTCTCTGTAAATGGATCTAATACTCCCAGTTGTGCTGAGTTTTCATTAACTTTGTGCCATGTGCCAACTGTTGAGAGGGATTTAGAGAGGTGGACAGCAGCAGAGGTGCCCATGGACAGATAACCATGCTAAGGAGAGCACTGGATGCTCTCTTTGGGCTGAGAAAGGCTCTTTGACTCAGTTGTCTGGCACAGTGGGACCCTCACCCTCATTGGGACTGACAGGAGCTGCCCTACGGTGAATAAGTCATCAGGAATTTGGAGACCAATATTCAGAATTACATTTAATTTAATGTATACCATAATTAAACATCTTTTCTTCTGAGTCCTTGCTGCTGCGTGGTCTGTGGATTCCACAGTGATTGTCTGTGGTGGTTTGGCAGAGGCCAGGCTGACAGGGACACATGGTGGCCTGTCCCTCCTGCTGTCCCTTGCAATGATCATCTCCACTGACACCTGCCTGCTGTGGGGAGTCCAGTGTTCCCTGAATCCCCAGGTACCAGCCAGGAGGCTTTTGGAGGTGGGGAGACCCATGTCCTCACGCTCCTAATGATGCCCTAATGATGCTGCCCTCAGCCCAGCACGGTTTCTCCCTCATTCCTGCTAACTTTAGCAGCCGAGTGCTAAGCAAACCAATTAGGAGAGGAGTGCCAAAGCCAAGCCCATCCGCTTGGGATGCTGAGCCGTGGGTCAGTGCAGCCCCAGGGGGAGGTGGCAGGGTGTGCTCTAGGGGCTGGAAAGCTTTTGAAGATCCTTGACTGTGAAGAGCTAACAGAGCTGAGTGATTCTGAGCACAGCAGTGGGAGAGGGTGAAACCTTTGTGAAGTTAATTGTAATGTGAAGTAATGTGAAACTTTACCTGGCTGTTGCAAATCCAGGTTGAATTTGCCCTGCAGAGGGAGGAATGGACAATCCAGTGGGAAGCAGGTGGGAGAAAGAGGCACTAGACCTGCTGCAGTACCTACTGGGGCTTGATTTCTGCTCCAGCTGTAAGAGTCACGGACTGCAAGGATGGAGCTTGGGGTGTGAAGAATTGTTTGGTCAATGGCCCAGGGTCAGTGCTGCTCTCCAGTCAGCCCTGCAGGGAAGGTAAGTGAGAACCTTAGGAAGAGGAGACTTTGAGAATTGACCCCAGCAGAAAGGGATGTGGGGAAGGAAGAGGGGACAGAGCCAAAAAAACAAGGTGGGGAAAGGGCAGAGGATACATTCAAATGAAGACACAGATGGAGCAGGTGACTGCCACGGAGCAGGGTGTGATGAAGCAGACAGGATAAAGTCAATAATGCGAGTAGAACAAATGATTAATAACAGGTATTTTCCCCAGAGGTGTGGATTTAGGAAGCTGCTGAACAGTGTTGTGTGCTGTCACTTCCCATCCCTGGGCAGCAGGATCTGGGAAGGGAGGAAGCAGGACAGGTTGCTAGGGGTGCTGTGGGTGCTACACATACCTGTGTGGGGAGAAAGCTTCCTCTGATTTTGAGTTAATCTCTGGTTGAGGAAACCTTTCTGGATGGCAAATACCACACAAAACTCTTCAGAGGAGCCTCTGCAGCAGCTGGGACTGTCCCTGGCCAGACCTCACCTTGCTCAGAGAAGCCCTGGGTGGGGTGTTTGCTCCCACAGGTGCCCTGGCTGCCTCATTAAATTGCTGGAAAATGCGATGTCATGTCAAATGAAGCTCCTGGAAGATACTTTTTTCCTCCTCTTGCTGTCAGGCACGTGGTGTTTGTGTGAGATGCAGATGTTACAGAGTAAAGAAACCAGCGGAACCATGACAAAGTTCATTTATGGCCAATAGAATTTTACAGGGCCGAGTGATTATTTTACTGTTCAAAGCTGCTTATAAGGGAATTCCTTGCACGTGAGAATCCACAGGCTGCCACGAGGCTTCAGCAGTGTCTCTTCATGTGAGCTGCAGCCTCCCTCTTGGACACAGGGACAAAGCTGCATTTCATTTAAAGTGCAGGTGTGGGTACAAATGAAAAATTTCCCACATCCCAGCACTGCCAAGGTAACAGCCGTGGTCAGGGCTGCCGTGGGTCTGTGTGACACAAGGACCTGCTCTGTCCGTGGAGATACCCCCCAAAACTCTCTGTGTTTTCATGCTCCTTCCCCAGTCTGTGGGTTGAGGGTCAGGGGAAGAGCCTGGGGAAGCCTGAGATGTGCAGATGTGGGATGTGGAGGGCTGGGCAGGAGCGTGACCTCCCCTTCACCCCCGAAGGAGAGCACAGCTGTGACAGCTGCCCTGACGGGTAAGTCCCGTGCCCTGAGCCTCCTGCTTGTGCTGCCAGCAAAGTCACTGGGTCAAAAGCAGGTGAGCCACCCTTGCTGCCCTCCCCAGAGGCACAACAGGGCTTATCAAACCCTGAGCAGGAGCCCTGGGCACGAGGCTCTGGCTGTCCCTTGGAGCAGGGCTCCTGGGGCTTGTCACCTCCATCACGGCAGGAGGAACGGAACCAGGACAGCCCTGTCCAGGGCTGAGGTCTGGGGGCCTGGTGCCTGACCCCAGGTGTGTGACAGCAGCCTGGTGCTGCTGCCAGGGCAGCTCTGGGGCTCAGCTGCCATCCCAGGCCTCTGCTGCTGGCTGGGCTGCAGCCAGTCGGGCTCACACGGGCCAGCTGCAAACAGCTGGACCTCTAAGGAAGCCCCAGGACATCCCTGTGATGTTCTGCAGGCCATGAGGGCATCGGATCGGCCTCTCCAGGGGCACCAGACCGCAGCCGAGCGATTCCAGTGACTCCAAATCGTCTCCCGGAGCGCACACACGTAAGGAAGGCGCGGTTGCACAACAGCACAGCTCACACAGGCGGGATTTCCAGACCCGTTCTGCCAGTCCGGCCAGCCGGCCGGATGTGCCGGGAATGTCCCAGGGCAGCGGGCACAGCAGCAGGGCTGTGCCGAGGCTGGGCTGGCACACGGGCTGGGAGCGCTGCTGGCTCTCAGGGCGCAGCGCTGGCACTCCCCTCGGGCTGCAAACACCCTTGGAAGCCTTTGAGCGGGCTCGGCTGAGCTGCTGGCGGAGTTAGAGGAATGCAGTGTGCTCTGTGAGGCCGAGCTCCCTGCTGCGCTCCCTGTGCCAGCTGTGTGCCATGTGTGCCATCTCCCTGTGCCAGCTGTGTGCCAGCTGTGTGCCAGCTGTGGCCATCTCCCTGTGCCATCTCCCTGTGCCAGCTGTGTGCCATCTCCCTGTGCCAGCTGCTGTGCCAGCTGCTGTGCCAGCTGTGTGCCATCTCCCTGTGCCAGCTGCTGTGCCAGCTGTGTGCCAGCTGTGTGCCAGCTGTGTGCCAGCTGTGTGCCCCGCTCCCATCGCCCGCTGCCGGGCGGTGTCTGTGATGTGCCCGCAGCAGCTCCTCGCTGTTCCATGAGCGGGGGTGCGAGCCGGGAAAAGCAGCAGAGCAGCTCCGGAGCGGTTTTGCTGTCCCGAACCAATGCTCTGCACAAAAGCCACTTCAAAACGCGCTCAGCATCCACAGAAAAACCTCTCCATCTGCTCCAGCGCGTCTCCGGTTGTTGCTGCAGCCCCGGGTGCTGCCCTGCCGTGCCCTGGGCTCCCCGCAGCAGCCAAGGCACCGCTGGATCCTGGAGAATCCTTTTCCCCAGCCTCAGCCCCGAGGCCAAGGAGCTGCATGTGGGCGCAATGCGAGCAGCCCAGGCAGAAGGGGAGTGCTGGGGGAGCCAGCAGCACCGGCAGGGAGAGGTCTCTGAGCCCCTGGACTTTTTTTCTCTGACCCAGAGAGAAAACTTAAAAGTCAAAAAACCCCAAATGTGCCCTGGAGTTGTCCCATCCCAGTGCAGGTGCAATGCAGAGCCATGGAAAACCAAAGCCTCAGGCATTTTACGCCGTCTTCTAATTCAAGGAACTTTGATTTTACTTTTCTACTCAGCAAAACTAATCCTTCTCCCTGTAATTAATATGCTGCTCAAATGGATTCTTAATTACAGATAAATCACAAATCTACACACTCAACTGTTATGCTTTTCAAGTAATAAAACAGAACATTTGTCTTCCTCAGATGAACAGAGCCCAACCAGCACACTATTTCCCCCTTTATGAAGAATTCATTTGCCTTAGAAAGAAAGTCTTTAAAAAAACATCGCAGGGATTTCTTGAATAGGGGATCAAAGCTCCCACACTGCTGGAAACCATTTTTCGCTAAATAAGATGTGAGTAAAGGGGAAAAAAGTAAAAGTTTTTTGGTGGTGGTTGGGATTACAACACCCTTGGGAGGGACGAGGACGTGGGGTCAAGAAGTGGTGACCAGGTTAGCAACACAGGGAACAGAAGGGGAGCACAAAGGAACAGAAAGTGGAAATGGACAGCTGAATGAGGACGCATGTTTCTGTGCTGCAAGAGAATGGATGCTACATCAATTCATACTGAGAGCTGAGGGCTGAGGGCCTGTTAATGGATCGGGGGACACAGCAGGGGTCAGAGGTCACCAGTGTGCTCTGCCGGGCTAATTGACTGTTATGTGCATATTAGTGATGATGATGTAGCAGGAGGGCAGGACGTGGGGGCACACGTGCAGGAGTCCCCCTGTCCTGGAGTTACACCTGTGGAACAGATGGACACACACACACAGATGTTGGCTTGGCTGGATTTCTTCAGGAGCCTGTGGCTACGGGAACTCGGGCCTGGCTGTGCATGTGACGGAATAAATGTGCTCACCTGATTTTCTGTGCCATCTTACGGGATTTTATTTCAGCTCTGTGCCCGGGGCACAGCCCAATGACCTGCCCAGTGGCACATCTCACCTGAGCTGCTCTGCACCACCCTGAGCCCTGGAGGAATGGGGCTGCAGCAGGGTCAGGAGAGCACCTGGCTGTTCCCCACCCACCGTACCTGCTGCTGTCCCAGGGACTCCCTGCAAGGATAACCAGTGAAACCAGGAGCCTGGGCTCTCCCCCACATCCCTGGCCAGCCCGTGGGCATCCTGCCAGTGACACCAGGCACAACAGGCAGCGCTTTCCTGCCCTGCTACGGCTGCACCCAGCCCTGGAAGTGCTGTGCTTCTCAGAACGTGCGGCCAGGGCAGCGGGGTCAAGAGAAGACATCAGCCACTGCCATAAAGGCTGTTGCCCCCTCAAGGTGGCTGTGGCTGGGGGGTTGATGCCCCCTTAGCATGGCATAGGAGGATGTTTCCTCATGGTTCAGCTGGAGTGGGAACTCCAGCTGTGAGGAGGCTCTGTGCTTGTCCTTGGGTCAGTGACAGGGAACAAAGCGAGGCATCCTGTGCCTGGTGGGGTTTCTGCTGCTGGCACCTGAGGGTCGGCCTTCTCTGCAAGGCTTTAGGTTCTCTGCAAGGCTTTAGGTCCTTGCTCGGAGCAGGAGCAGCAGTGATGAGAGTCCCAGCAGCTCCAGAGGGTGGTCAGAGCTGGAACAGGCTCCCCAGGGAATGGGCACGGCCCCAAGGCTGCCAGAAGCGTTCTGACAATGCTCTCAGGCACAGGGTGGGATGGTTGGGGTGTCTGTGCCAGGCCTGGATGATCCCTGTGGATCCCAGCTCAGGATATTCCACGGTGCCTTGCTCCTGGCACAGGGCTTTCTGCCCTCAGAAGCAGAGCTCCTCACCCCTGACACAAAGGGATTTCCCAGCTGACCGATGGAGAGAATATTCCCTGTTTCCTCACTCTTGAATCTGCCAACAGCATCCCTTGGTGAGTGATGGATATTGGAGATGATTTATAGTTCTTTGTTACACAAATGCCTCCACATTCTTCCCCACCCTCTCACAGCAACCACTAGTGACTGCTCCTAGCAGAAAGCAGGAGCCTCAGCCTGGGAACTGCACTAAGGATGCAGAGCTGAGCCTTTATTCACTGTAAATACACCACTGGGGACACAAGAAAGGGAATTGTCACTGCTGTGGTGCTCTACACCCAGGTTCCTGGCTCTGCTTCCACCCATTTGCCGGGAAGTTGAAAGTCTGGCAAAGAAAAAGTGCTATAAATCAGGCAGAGGAGGATGGAGGGAGGATCAGGTTTACCCAATTTTTCATCTCAAAGTTTGTTATTAAAGTAGTGAATGTTACAGGAGGAACAGCCATGGCCTATATGAGCTCTTGGATTTCAGCAACATAAACCTTTAGCCCTTGAGGCTTTTATTACATTAAATAATTTTTGTCGCTGCTAATTAAACTTCTGTATTGTTTTCCTCCATGAACAACAAGGAAAAATCTGTATTGTTTGATCTGATAGAGAGTACTAGATTTACCTGCACTATAGGATCTCACATTTTATCATAATGAATAAATACATTAATTAAATAAATTCTGATCTTAATCTGGGTAAACTTTCTTGAATGCCCTGAGGAGCTCAGCCAGTTGCCAGGTTGCTCCTGCCATGGCCTCAAGCATTTCTTTCTTCAGGCACACTTGTGAGGCTGGATTGTATCAGTATAAATCAAGGATTAAGTAAAGTGGTTGTGGGCAGGGAGGCAACATCATGCTCCTGTCTGCTCCCTCCCAGGCTGCGGGACGGCAGCAGGGCTGGCAGGGGCTGCTGGAGGCATCCGCACCCCGCAGGGGGAAGGAATCCTCCCTCGCCACCCTGGCGGTGCCGCGACAGCCGCTCCCATCTCGCTGCGGCCTGGGGCAGCCTGCCCACGCCGTTGCCACG